ATATTTTTCGCCATCCTTAGTTCTTCAAATCTTCTACTGATGTCATCTGCCTTCTTAAAGACGTGCACTTACCGAGGAGGAGTAAAGAGGTCGTAGAAGAAGTAACATGTGCCAATTCTTATGATGACAATTAGTGTGTGCCCGAGTTGGACACCGGACCAGCGACTTTCAGCTCACCCGGCAACACTCTTATCACTTGAACAACAGTTTCTGTGTTGTTTAAACAAAGTTAGGTCATCGGACATTAATACTAACAAATGTTTTAAATCCGGTACAGATTAGAATTTTACCACCAAATTTTCCTGCACTTATATAAAACAAAAAAAAAACTAGGGAGAACATTCCTAAAACAAAAATTTCAAATTCCTGATAAAATTGTAAATTTTAACATACAAGGGAGATAACTACACGATCCTTTTTCTCTTATAACTAGACTTTACCAAAACGATGCATCAATAGTTGAGTTATCTATAGTTTTGTTGAATATTTATCAAAAGTTGACATAAATGGATACGTCCTATCTAAAACTCAGAGGGTTAAAATAAATAAACTATCGGTGAGATACACGTTTATAACTGGGACGAGTTAAAATAAAAAGTGATTCGTGTGTTTTAAAAGTGAATTATGTGTTGGCCAAATTCACGGGGACATACTCAATGTGCGATTTGCACCATGCCGGTGCATACTAATGCATTATACATGTCGATGATTTGATATCACGGGGATATTTGTTACACACGGAATAAAAACGTTTTATTTACAACCTAATTGGCTATTCAGATCTAGAATATTTATTATACGTTATTTGAACAACCTCAGATCTGTAACGTGTTTGAGACATGGTTATAAATAGCTGAAGAATATATGAGCGCGTTTAGGAGTTCTTAATAAACGATTGAACATATCAAAACTATAAACAAAGCCTAGGAATAGCAGTTACTGTGTTCTGAAAACGGATAAATTACAAAGGTTTGTTTCAAACGTTTTCTGACCGATCGAAATACAATGTACACGTTCGTTAATATTTAAATGATATTGTACATATATATATATGTACCAGGAAGAAATTGAGTTTAATTTAGTAAACAGTCTAGATTTTCTCATAAAGATAAACTTTAAAAGGTAAAAACATTCAGTGTAAACATCGGTATATTTCATCACATCAAAGAAACAAAATTATATCGTATTATAGATACGAAAAGTGACGGAGTTTACCGAAGTTACACGAGCTAATGACGGCTGATGGATATTATGAGTTTGCCGCTTCACATATTTTCTATATGAATAGTTTATTATTTCATATAAGAATATTGATAATTCTCCTTTTTATATATGCTACTTTCATTAACTAATTATTTGTATATATACATTCACACGTGCTTATTACGTGCCTTTACTATGAACATACCTTTTACCTTTGACTTCATCGAATATAGCCTACAACAGTGTATGCTGCGACAACTGGTGGTGGTGGTGGTAGTGGTAGTTTTCGCTCCGAATCAGGGCAGTAAGCCGCATTGAATTTACAAGAGCACAGTCCAGCCACCGCATTTTGTGACAACAAAGGGGTCTATATAGGCTATTTACATCCAATTAGAAGACCTAAAGCCATAATATAAACTCAACTATTTATTCATTTAAAAGCCACAAACAAAGAGCGCGTTCCCTCATTTTATCGATCTATTCTATTGTTTTGATTTTACATTTCTAAACATTACAAATTTCGATATGGACACATAGTTTACATTTTCTATATACATTCCACGTTATATATTCGTATAGATTGTTTCAAAAACAATAGGCTTATAAAATGTAACAATGCTAAGCTGACGCCGCGTGCCGCGTGCAAGCAGCTGTCTGTTAAAGAAAAGCCGTCAGCTAAAATCTGATTATAATTATAATGAAATGAGCCGCGTCATCACAAAACCAACGTAATGCGTTTGCGACCAGCATGGATCCAGACCAGCCTGCGCGTCCGCGCAGTCTGATCAGGATCCATGCTGTTCGCTATCAGTTTCTCTACTTGTAATAGGGTTTGTAAGCGAACAGCATGGATTCTGATCAGACTGCGTGGATGCGCAGGCTGGTCTGGATCCATGCTGGTCGCAAACCCATTATGTTGGTTTTGTCATGACGCGGCTCAAATATAGTTTATGTGACACGTATCTTCTATTCATGTCTTTACTTTTGGTTCCAACCAAAGTGATTACTTTTTCCTACCAATTTTAATAAGAAAGGACCACATTTAATTAATCTGACCAGAAATAGGGAATGCAGCTTCCCACACATATTTTGTGCATTCTCTTATTCAAATTAGACATGTTCAGTAAGAATTTCCTAGATTTCAATAAATTTGTGCAATAAATCCATTTTTCCGTAAGACGAGCATAGAATATCTTAAAAGGTCGACTGAGCTTAAAGATGCAAATATTTTTTTTCTACTTTTGGTGTCTTGTAACAATTTGCAAATAGTTACTTATTGACATTAAAGCTAAATGTTAAATGGCTTCTTTTACATTATGTCAATTAGTACATTTATAGTGATGAAAGGCACATTATGCCTCAAAAACAAATAAATTTTACTTCTCTAGAAAGGGCAAACATGAATATTGTAATGTTTAAATAATGCTTAAATGCTTTTCCCTGAAGAAATTAGCAATAAATGTGAAATAATGTGTTTAAAAAGTAGCAAAATGTAAACAAAGTAGTATTTTGACTTCCATACAAAATATTTATTCACTATAACTATAATATAAGACGCGTCACGACAAAACCAACATAATGGGTTTGCGACCAGCATGGATCCAGACCGCGCAGTCTGATCAGGATCCATGCTGTTCGCTTACAAGTCCTATAACAAGTAGAGAAACTGATAGCAAACAGCATGGAACCTGATCAGACTGCGCGGATGCGCAGGCTGGTCTGGATCCTTGCTGTTCGCAAACCCATTATGTTAGTTTTGTCATGGCGCGGCTCATATTTACTGCCAAAAAGCAACAGATAAAAAAGATTCGGATAATTGGCCAATGAATACATTTTTGAATTCTATAAATATACAGCAAAGTGAAAAGGCTTTCGGGAAATAAGAGCATTTCTGAGGTATGATGGGCCTATTCTGTTTTAAAGTCAAACTATCGCATTATTTACATTTTGTTATCTTTATTATATTTTTTGTCACATTCAGCAATATTTTCTCCAGGTAATAAACGTCTTACATGTTGTAATTATTACCTTTATCATCATCATCATCATCATTATTATTATTATCATCATCAACATCAACATCATTATTATTCTTGTTATTATCATCATCATTATTATTATTGTTATAATAATTATTATTATTATTTTTATTGTTATTATTTTTATTATTATTATTATTATTATTTATTATTATCAGTATAATTATTATTATTTTTATTGTTATTATTTTTATTATAATTATTATCATTATTATTATTATTATTTATTATTATTTTATTATTCTTGTTATTATCATCATTATTATTATTTTTATTATTATTATATTTATTATTATTATTATTATTACTATTATAATTATTATTATCATTATTACTATTATCATTATTATCATTATTATTATTATTATTATCATTATTATTATTATTATTATTTTTTATTATTATTATTATTATTATATTATTATTATTATTATTATTATTATTATTATTATTATTTATTATTATTATTATTATTATTATTATAATTACACGCGTTTGTTGCTCTGTATAGAGACAAAAATTCTCGGGCCTAATGTGCCCTCAAAACTGTTATACACTGTACATGTACCTTTAATACAAACAGTTTCAGTTTCGATATGCATACATTTATATATTTTATATGTGTGGTCATAATAATTAAAAGTGCAAAACAGATCTTATTCAACATCACTTAAGGAAGTTTAACTTTTACTGTCAATAAAAACGGATGTAAGTATGGTTACAAAAACGTTCATAAATGAAAACAAACTATTTACTATTTACACGTATTTGAAGTTCAGTGACTGTAAAGAACAGTATTTGAACTGGCGGTCAGTTACCTTCCAGGTAATTGTAGGCAATTCCAATATTAAGCAGACTTCAGTTATTTTCATAAAGACTGTCTTGACATTGTGGTGAAGAAAAAAATTGTTTGTAATAGTCTTGATAAAATTGTAATCAATAGTACAATACGAAGTCTAGTAGAAGTTTCCGCCGCGATTTGAGTGGTTCTTTCTATAGCATATAATATAAACATCTTTGTCAAATATATAGTTTGAACATGTAGAACTGGGCACAGTGTCGAAATTGAAAGCACCTTTACCAAAACGATGAACATTAATTGTTCGCGTTGAAAATTCTGCATTCGGTCAAGGATCGTGTCAAAATAAAGTTATAAGGAGCTCCAATGTGGTCAATAACCCTTAAAACATAAAATTTGAAAAATCTGAAAATGTATACAATTATTAAGTTAAAGAAAATAAAGAAATGTGCTTTAAATTAAATTGAAAGCGAATATTTTAATATTAAGCCCGATGTGAGTGACAAATGTTGCAATGCTTTTCATTTTAGGACCATTTATAAGAATTTTTAAGAATAATTTTATAAGAATAAGAATTTTTTTCTGGAAAAACGGGGCGAGGGAATGATCTGAAAATTTGCATACATATTGGTCCAAACCTCAGTCATGTCAAAGAAAACTAAGTGGAGTCCATTTAATGTTTTACTGATTGTTCAAATATGTTTTTTTCTTGTATTCCTTTCTTATAATTTATGTTTTCTTATAAGCGTCTCATTAGCCGTTACTTAAAATGGTATTTAAATTCATTGTAGTATTGACAAAAACGACGCAGTAAAAATGACGGCCCAATCGCCTTTTCTATTTTTTTACGATAAGGCTTATTATACGGTATAGCACTTTCAATAAGAAACGGTAATCATTTTGTTCGTGTATTTCCAGCAACAATGTCTGATGACGACGAATTTGATCCGAATAAAGATGTCCCAATATGGGTCAACATTGTAGTCCCTATCGTATCTGCGTTGATATTCATCGGCGTCCTTATAATTTTGTTTCATACAAAGAAAGAAGTTCCTCTAGAGACTATTGAAGACTGGGTAAGTATGAATAAAAAATGTGACGCAATAAGTAACGTCATTAATGCGCGATGCTTAAGAAAACAGCACGAAGAAATATTTCAATAGAAAAAGAAAGAAAAACATTTGCTTTTAATTGATATCAAATATTAAAACTAAGTCTATGCCAATGACAACCGCATTTTGGACAATTCCCTTATATTTCCGGTCGATAAAGGCCTATGGATAATCTGCAAAATGTTCCAAGTGTACCATCAAAATATCCATTCGGAATATCTCGCAGATCACCATTATGTCTTTATCGGAAGTTCTCGGAAAGTTTCGATTGTACCTTTTCTGCCTATCATATATATGTGAGATAAGTCAAGTATGCCGATTATGACACTTATTGTTGTTGTAACTTAACTCTTTAATAATTGAACGTTTGTGCAGAGTAAACTTTGTCTTTTTAAAAAAAATATAATAAGAAAATACATATAGTACTTTGCAAATGTATGAATTTGTGTGTATCATTTCAGAACATTGTTATTACATCAAATTTCATGGTATTGTATTATTGTATTATTTCATGACTTCTATTGTTTGCATTGTACAATAAAGAGAAATAAAAAAAAAAATATGCCACTATCGGAATATTTTTTATTTACTGTTAGTTATTCAGGAAAGCCGGTTAGATGGATGAACGCCGAGATATGACCAAAAATGTGTTAAAATCAGCATAAGAAAGACCAGCATACAATCAAAACAAGATATGTCGTGAGTCTGTATGGGTCATACTAAATAATGCAAGACAAATACATACTGCAAAGACTGACAAAGACCGACAAAGACATATAAATACTACAAAGACCGCACGAAGACCAACAAAGACCACTGGAACTTAATACTTCAACGTTCAAAACTTGCTATTTTGTTCTTTCTTTTCCATTACCCTGGTAAAAAAAGCCGCTTCTATTGAATTTTTAGAAAAAAAATGAATTTCATTTTTATTCACCGTTTCAGATTGACAGAATTCCTCTTGTTAACCGATGCATATCCACCGATTATGATACCACAGAGACCGACGCAATAGCAAAAAGGACTTCTTCATCACGTGGTGCGAGCGTTAAAGGAAGTCAAAGAAACTCAAAGATAACACAAATAAACGAAAGATCGAAAATACGTAAAACGTTAAGTTACAGTGATATTAGGAGGTATGACTCTATTTCGACCATAAGAACTCAGGATAACACAACAGCAAGTTCTGACCTTCAGGGGTCATCGAAAAAACAATATTTCTATGCCAGCCAAGGAACGTTAATGAGCTTTGAAAGTAGTGTGTAACAAAATGGCCACTCGGCATAAGTATTGGTTGTATATTGTTAACTTTACCACACAGCATCTGCAAAAGCGACGTAAGGAAATCCACGTGATAAACATCTCCTTACCTTGTACATGTTGTATTTTATTCACGTACATGTATATATTATATTGTGAATAACATACGTAGAAAACTAAAGACAAAAAGAAACAACGACAAGACGCAAATGTAACTACCATATTCATAACCTCGTTATTGTCTTCTTTGCAGGCTTGTTAAAGGTTTTATATGAAAAGACGAGTCCTCCGATGGTCACACATTTTTTGGAAGGCGATAACGCAGCATATTCCAAAATTACATAATTTTATGCCCAACCCATAAATATCCATGCATACGCGTCAAAATATAGTTCGGTGCTATTTAAGTTAATCAGAAAAAAACTTTTGAAAATATATTTTGAATTATCATCTCTTGAATACTGTGAGAGTTAACGGAAAATATAATTGCTTTCAATTTATTTTCAATGTAACTCTTTAACGTTTTCTGTTGTTTTCTTTCTGTTTTAATGCCCCCAGTTGATATACATGTTTGTGATATTTTAATAATTTTATGTTTTAGGCTTTTGAACCTCTTTTGAGCTCCTTTGATTTGTAGAAAAGAAAAAATATGATGTTTTATAAAATTCTTTTGTACAAAGTATAATACTGACTCTACAAAACGCTCCGATCTTTTTTATTTCTACCATAGTTCTACCGCTATTATATGATCTTTACCCTTAAACGCATGCGCAATAAACCCAAATGAGTACCACTCCTTTTTCTAGTCGTATGTGTAGTCGGCAACAAGTTCACTGTCGGGGAACTAATTGAAATTTATTTCACTAAAATTATTTTGTAAAACAATAGGGAAACATTCAGTGAAGTACTTTAGATGTTAATTCATTTATAGTTCTTTTCGTTTTCGTTTCGTAATTTTAAACATTAATTTCCTAAATATAAAATCTCGCAGCATTTTTTTTCACAAAATAGACATTTGTGTCTATTTTTGTATGTTTTAATGCAAATATGTATATATTATGATGCATTTTATAAACTTATGTGCTTGATCTATATTTTAATATATGCTTACTATGTTCGAATTATTGTATACATGTAATGAATGTGATTGTATATAGTAAAATAGTTATTCTATTCTGTTTAAAACTTATGAAAAATAGACATAAAGTGTAGAAATGACGCTGGTCACAATAGGTAATGGAACAGTGTGACAAAACTGATAGATTGAGCGAATAGAGGCCACTATATGTAATGCAACAATGTGACACAGCCGCTTGATTAAGCAAATATAGGGCACTGTAAACAATGCAAGAGTGTGACAAAACCGCTTGATTAAGCAAAAAGGGCACTGTAAACAATACAAGAATGTGACACAACCGCTTGATTAAGCAAATATAGGGCACTGTAAACAATGCAAAATTGTCACAAAACCGCTTGATTAAGCAAATATAGGACACTGTAAACAATGCAAGAGTGTGACAAAACCGCTTGATTAAGCAAATATAGGGCACTGTAAACAATGCAAGAATGTGACACAACCGCTTGATTAAGCAAATATAGAAACTGTAAACAATGCAAGAGTGTGACAAAACCGCTTGATTAAGCAAATATAGGGCACTGTAAACAATGCAAGAATGTGACAAAACCGCTTGATTAAGCAAATATAGGGCACTGTAAACAATGCAAGAGTGTGACAAAACCGCTTGATTAGGCAAATATAGGACACTGTAAACAATGCAAGAGTGTGACAAAACCGCTTGATTAAGCAAAAAGGGCACTGTAAACAATACAAGAATGTGACACAACCGCTTGATTAAGCAAATATAGGGCACTGTAAACAATGCAAAATTGTCACAAAACCGCTTGATTAAGCAAATATAGGACACTGTAAACAATGCAAGAGTGTGACAAAACCGCTTGATTAAGCAAATATAGGGCACTGTAAACAATGCAAGAATGTGACACAACCGCTTGATTAAGCAAATATAGACACTGTAAACAATGCAAGAGTGTGACAAAACCGCTTGATTAAGCAAATATAGGGCACTGTAAACAATGCAAGAATGTGACAAAACCGCTTGATTAAGCAAATATAGGGCACTGTAAACAATGCAAGAGTGTGACAAAACAGCTTGATTAAGCAAATATAGGGCATTGTAAACAAATCAAGAATGTGACAAAACCGCTTGATTAAGCAAATATATGGCACTGTAAACAATGCAAGAGTGTTAAAAAATGCAAGAGTGTGACAAAACCGCTTGATTAAGCAAATATTGGACACTGTAAACAATGCAAGAGTGTGACAAACGCTTGATAAAGCAAATATTGGACACTGTAAACAATGCAAGAGTGTGACAAAACCGCTTGACAAAGCAAATATTGGATATAAGGTACTGCAAACAATGCAAGAGTGTGACAAAACCGCTTGATTAAGCAAATAAAGGGCACTGTAAACAATGTAAGAATGTGACAAAACCGCTTGAATAAGCAAATATATGGCACTGTAAGCAATGCAAGAGTGTGACAAAACCGCTTGATTAAGCAAATATAGGGCACTGTAAACAATGCAAGAGTGTGACAAAACCGCATGATAAAGCAAATATTGGACACTGTAAACAATGCAAGAGTGTGACAAAACCGCTTGATAAAGCAAATATTGGATATAGGGTACTGCAAACAATGCAAGAGTATGACAAAACCGCTTGATTAAGCAAATATAGGGAACTACAAACAATGCAAGAGTGTGACAAAACCGCTTGATTAAGCAAATAAAGGGCACTGCAAACAATGCAAGAATGTGACAAAACCGCTTGATTAAGCAAATATATGGCACTGTAAGCAATGCAAGAGTGTGACACAACCGCTTGATTAAGCAAATATAGGACACTGTTAACAATGAAAGAGTGTGACAAACCGCTTGATTAAGCAAATATAGGGCACTGTAAACAATGAAAGAGTGTGACAAAACCGCTTGATTAAGCAAATATAGGGCACTGTCAACAATGCAAGAGTGTGACAAAACCGCTTGATTAAGCAAATATAGGACACTGTTAGCAATGCAACAGTGTGACAAAAGCGCTTGATTAAGCAAATATATGGCACTGTCAACAATGCAAGAGTGTGACAAAACCGCTTGATTAAGCAAATAAAGGGCACTGTAAACAATGCAAGAGTGTGACAAAACCGCTTGATTAAGCAAATAAAGGGCACTGTTAACAATGCAAGAATGTGACAAAACCGCTTGATTAAACAAATATGGGTCATTATAGGTAATACAACAATGTGACCTAACACCTCTAGATTGAGCAAATATAAGTCATTATAGGTAATTAAAATGTTACATTACAGTAAGATTGGAAAAATTAGGTCACTATTGGTAATGCAAAAATTAGACAAAACCGCTGGATTGAATAAATATAGGTAGCTCTGTACAAAGAAACAATGTGAAAAAATTGCTAGATTGAACAAATAAAGGTCACTTTTGGTAATGCAACAATGTGACAAAACCGCTAGATTGAGCAAATATAGGTCACTATAGGTAATGCAACAATGTGACAAAACCGCTAGATTGAGCAAATATAGGTCACTATAGGTAATGCAACAATGTGACAAAACCGCTAGATTGAGCAAATATAGACCACTTTAGGTACTGCAACAATGTGGCAAAACTGCTGGATTGAGCAAATATAGACCACTTTAGGTACTGCAACAATTTGACACAACCGCTGGATTGAGCAAAAATAGATCACTTTAGGTAATGCAACAATGTGACAAAAACAACCGCCAGATTGAGCAAATATAGGGTACTATAGATAATGCGACAATGAGACAAAATCGCTAGATAAATCAAATAACACGACAATAAAATATAGATTGCTATAGATATAGTGACAATGTGCCATGTGACATAAACAAAAGAGTGATAAAATACAGACAACAAAAGTTAATACAGCACTGCGTCACAACTGTTGTTGATTCAGCAAATGTAGAGCAATATAGATAATGCAGCAATGTGACATCTGTTAGATGTACCAAATTAACGCCAACTTCATTAATTCTACAATGTCATAAAATCATTACATATTTTGCAAATACATGTTTACAAGTAGGCCGCTGTATTTATGGGTTTTATAGGTATGTGCAACAACTATCCCGTTGAGCAAACGGAAATCACTATAGGCAAGCGGGAAAGTGACAAAACCGCTAGATTATAGATAAGACAGCAATGTGACACACGTGTTAAGTTACTCAAATATAGGTCAATTAAGGTAACACAGCAATGTAACACAAATATTAAGTTAAGAAAATACAGATCACATACAGTTTTGTGTTAAGCAAATAAAGGACACTACACAACTTTTAAGTTAAGCAATATAGATCAGTTAAAGTAACACAACAATGCGACACAAGTATTAAGTAAAGCAAATATTGATCACTAAAGGTGACACATCAATGTGACACAAGTGTTAAGTTTAACAAATATAGATCACTTAAAGTAACACAACAAGTCGACACAAGTGTAAAGTTTAACAAATATAGGTAAATTAAGTTAAGCAAATATTGGTCACTTTAGGTAACATAGCAATGCTACACAAGTGTTAAGTTAAACAAATATAGGTAACTTAAGTTAAGCAAATATTGGTCACTTAAGGTAACACAAAAAAGTTACACAAGCGAGAAGTTAAGCAAATATAGGTCACTTAAGTTAAGCAAATATTGGTCACTTAAGGTAACACAAAAAGTGACACAAGAGAAAAGTTAAGCAAATATAAGTCACTTAAGTTAAGCAAATATTGGTCACTTAATGTAACACAAAAAAGTTACACAAGCGAGAAGTTAAGCAAATATAGGTCACCTAAGTTAAGCAAATATTGGTCACTTAAGGTAACACAAAAAAGTGACACAAGAGAGAAGTTAAGCAAATATAGGTCACTTAAGTTAAGCAAATATTGGTCACTTAAGGTAACACAAAAAAGTGACACAAGAGAGAAGTTAAGCAAATATAGGTCACTTAAGGTGACACAGCAATGTGACACAAGTTTTGTTAAGCATATATAGGTCACATCATGTAAGACAGCAAAGTGACACAACTTTTAGTTGCGCAAATATAGGTCACAAGTTTAAGGTAACACATTGTAAAGTTAAGGAAATATATGTCATTTAATGGAATACAACAATGTGACAGATCTATTTAGTTAAGCAAACAAAGGTCACTTAAGGTAAAACAGCATGTGACACGAGTGTTGAGTTAAGGTAATATATGTCACTTAAGTTAATACAGCAATGTGACGGTAAGCAAATATAGGTCACATACGATAATGTGGCAATCTGAGACAAACATTTGAATGGGCAAATAAAGGTCACTATATGTAATCAAACAATTATTCTAGAAAATATAGGTCTATAACGTAAGTGCAGAAATATGATTTAGCCAATAAAATAAGCAAATAACGGCTAAGATAGATAATGTCATAAATTGATAAAAATATTTGATTTGAATATGATTATATTACACAAACACCTGTCACAATAGATATATGTTTTAGCAACACATCTAGAAAGCACACTTGCATATTTCTCTATTTAACGCAGAGGCAAAGTAGTATCACAAACACGAAAGTACGATGATAAAGATGCGAAGACACGATGACCATGGATGACAAAAACGCTTTCGCATTGATTTTATACATATGCTAATATACCTACGTTCTCTTTATAAATTTATACTCTAATGTTCAAACGAAGCAGCTGTTAACCATGTGACCGAATTTTTCTCGGAAATCCACGGTTCACACTCAGGATAAACCGCATTTTACGCATACTCAGAACACTTCTTACGACTTCCAATAAGTCTTTCGTGCAGCTTTGACGGAGATAGCCGACAAGGAAATTAGCCTAAGTAACAGAAGATGGTACAAACGATGTCACAGCCACGTGTTTTGGACATCAGTTGCATACTGTGTACAATAACATAGTACATGCAGAAAGACATAGTATTGCTTGCTCTTCAAACGCGCAAAAACTAATAACAGATTTTTGGTGTTCTGC